CAATGATATCTCTGGTACCATGGCCTCTTCTTAACCCTGCTTGAACAGGCAGTTCCCTGTCAATGTATTCTTTTTAGCTATCTTTGGATTATTTTCAGCAATATTTTGCCTGCATGTGATATTAATGATACTGTTTGATCATTTCTATATTGTTGGATCACCTTTCTTGAAATGGGAACAAAAATGGATCTCTTCCAGTGAGTCAGCCAAGCAGCTGTCTTCCAAATTTCCTGGCATAGACTAGTAAACCTGTCCAGGACTGCATGTTAGTTGAAACATGTCAGTTGGTATCCCATCAATTCCTGGAGGCTTATTTTTGCCAGTGCTTTCAATGCAGCTAGAACTTTTTCCTTTAGTACCATTGGTTCTTCTCCATATGCCAACTCATTTTGATACAATGACTGTGTGTTCCTTCCATCTTCTTATTCAAGATCTTGTGCATAGCCTCTCTCAATACTGCAACTCGAGCCTTGAATTTGTTTTTAAAATTTTCTCAGCATGAGAAGTGTCAGGTGAGTTCTTCTCTTTTTATTCTCCAACTCTAGCTATTTGCACATTTCATTATAATATTTTGCTTTTTCTTCTTGAGCTGTCCTTTGAAATTTTCTGTTCAGTTCCTTTACTTTAGCATCTCATTCCTCTGTTTTGGTTTCTAAATACTCCAATGCAATTTCTACAGTGTCTTCTGACATCTATTTTGATTTTTTTTTTCTTTCTCCCCTATCTTTTCTAACTTTCTGTTGCCTGTAACTTTTCCTTAGTTTTTTACAATAGTGGCCTTATACCATAATTGGCCTTTTGAGACTGGTTTATGTTATTCAGCACTTTCCTCTAGATTCATCCTTGTTGTGGCGTGTATAATGAATTCTTCAGAACTCTTTATTGTTGCATAATACTCCATTATGTGAATATACTATAGTTTCTTTAACCACCTGACTACTGATGAGCACCTGGTCACTACCATGTCTTTGTTACTGGGAATGATGCTGCAATGAACATGGGTGTGCAGCATCACTTTGCAGTTCATTCTGTAGAGGGATTTATGGACCAAATGATAGTATTTCTAGTCCTACATTTCTAAGGAAAGTGACAAACTACTTTATGTACTTCACATTCTTACCAGGCATGTATGAGAGCTCCAATCTTTCCACATTCTCAACAGCATCTGTCCTTTGCTAGTCAATAAAAATGCATGGAATCACCCATGCAAGCCACAGAAGGAAAGGTTGGGGACCTGGTCCCATAAATTTACAGCCATTGAAAACATTATTGAGTTGAGCACTCCTACATACAAAGCGTCTAGTTGACAGTAACAGTTCATTTAGGTTTGATACAGAACGTTTATGTGGAAAAATATAAAATATATAAAATATAAAAAAAATAAAAATATAAAAAATAAAAATAAAAAATATAAAATTCAAATACCTATGAAGAATCTACTTTTATAGAATGGAAAATTCATCATAGCAAAGATGTCAATTCTTTCCAAATAGATCTATCAAAAACTCAATTATTTTTTCAAAAGTTATAGACAAGTTGATTCCAAAACTTTTATGGAAATGCAAAAGAAATAGTTAAATAATACTACAGAAAGAAAACAAAGTTGCATGAAGACAATTATTCCCCTTTGCTACTTTTTATATATGTTGTGGTGGTTTATATATGCATCTGTCTAAAACCAAAATATCCACAAGCAATCCAGAAATAAAATGAGAAAAACGATAACAACAGATGTTTCTCATCAAAGAGGATTATACAGATAGCAAATAAGCACATGAAGTGATGTTCAATATAATTAAACACTGTTGTCAGCTATGTTGATCATGGTTGTTAGATGCTGTTAATTCCAATTAATTTCCTATAGACAAGAGTAGAGCTGTCCCAGTTTGTAAGGCTATATATCTTTACCTTACTCTTGCAGAGCAGTTGGTAGATTCAAACCAACAACCTTCCAGTTGGCAGCCAAGGACTTAACCACTGCACCACTATGGATCCTTTACTGTTAACTCACTGTCACTGTCAGTTCAATGGGCATCGAGTTTCTAAGGCTGTAAATTTTATGGAAAGAGAGTGTTCATCTTTTCCCTACCCCACACTGTAGCTGCTGGATTCAAAGTGCAGACCTTTTGGTTAGCAGCCCAAAATGTTATACGCTATGCCACCTGGCCCTTTTCATTAACTATTATCTGCTAAAGAGCAAAGCAGTCTGCTTAAAGACTAAGGCATGCCTGATCCAAACCATGGTCTTTTCAATTACTTCCTAAGCATCTGAAAGTTGAACAGTGCATAGAACGACAGAAGAATTGATGCCTTTGAACTGTGGTGTTGGAAAAGAACACTGAACATTCCATGGACTGCCAAAAGAACAAACACATCTGTCTTAGAGCAAGTGCAGCCAGACTGCTCCTTAAAGGCAAGGATGTTGAAACTTTGTCTCACACACTTTTTAGCATGTTGTCAGGATGTCTAGAAAAAAGATACGTTGGAAAATCAAGGAAAAAGAAGAATCTCAACAATACAGACTGACAATGACAGTTAACAATGGGTTTGAGCTTATGATGTTACTTATATAACACTCTTGGAATATCAAAAGTATAATGAAGGAGTACACATAAGTAGTTGTCAGGGGTTAAAGTTATGGGTAGACAGACAATAAAGAAACAGCACAAGGGGACAGTCCTGTATCCTGTGGTGGTTGTTACATAAATGCATATATGTGATCCAATGCTATGGTACTATACACACATACAATGAGTATACATGATGTGCTGACAAGTGACAAGTCACTTCCAACTACTAATTCACTGCCATTGAGTCAATGCTGATTCATGACAACCTTCCTGTGCTTTTCCGAAACTGTAAATTTTAATGGAAGGAGACTGCTCATCTCTCCCTTTCAGAGTATCTACTGAATTCAAACAACAGATTATTCAGTTAGTAGTGCAAAATGTTATGCACCACCCCATGAGAGCTACTTTCTGACTCCTGATGAAAGTGAAACACTGCCAGGACTTGAACCATGCTCACAATCACTGCTGTGTTTAAGCCCATTGTTAATCCATTTGTTGAGGTCTTCTCTTTTTCTCTTTCTACTTTACTAAGGATACTATGTTGTTGCTGTTGATTGTTGCAGAGTCGAGCACAACTCATAGGAACCCTATGAACAAAAGACCTGAAGCCTTTCTACAACTGTTGTCGATTCTCAAAGTTCCAGAGGCATGTTGTTTAGGAAGTGGATGCCACTCCTGCTTCCAAAAGGATGATATAGGAAGTAGTAAAATCCAAAGAATATCTGTAGTTTAGTTCTTGTGTACTGTTGAGTCAAATATATCCGACCTATAGCTGACCCTCAAAGGATTTTAAAGGCAGTTAATTGCCTGGGGAAGAGTGAAGCAGCTCCTGTGAAGCAGCTTATGGGTTTGATCTACAGTTCTTTGCTTTGGCAGTGTAGTTTCTCTACCACCATGCTACCAGAGCTCCCTTAATAGTATGGTACAAATGGCAAATTCTTAATTTTTTCACTATATTATGGTCATGTAAAATAGTATCATTGAGTAAGACTAGATAAAGGGCATTCAGATATTCCATTTTTGCAACTTGTGAGCTTTAAGGTATTTCAAAATAATAAGTTGTTTGAATGAAAATGTACAAAATTCATTATGAAGTATTTCTCTTACCTTAGACTCCAGCACCCTCACCCCGTTTTCCTTCCTGGAGACAAGGAATACTTGCAAATATTTATGTATGCTTCCAGAGATATCTTATACTTGTGCAACCATTATGTAAACCTATTTCTTATTTTACACAAGGTGTAGCATGACATACATTCTTCTGTATACTACTGTTTTATTTACCTGTTTAGGAGACATTTCATCACAGAAACATCAAGAAAACAAAGATTCTTACCACTGGGTCAATTGGCGGCATCAGTATGGATGGTGAAGAGATTGAGATAGTTAACAGTTTTAGTTTACTTGGCTCCACAATCAACACTCTTGGTAACAGCAGCCAGGAAATCAAGAGAATAATTGCATTGGGAAAGTCAGCTGTGAGGGACCTCTCAAGAGTACTGAAGAGCAACGACGTCAGGCTAGAGACTAAGGTGCACCTGATCCGGGCTATAGTCTTCACAATTACGTGCTATGCATCAGAGAGTTGGACAGTGAATAAGGTTGATAGAGAATTGGTGCCTTTGAGCTGTGGTGCTGGAGAAGAGTGTTGAATATACCATGGACTGCTAGGAGAACAAACAGGTTTGTCCTGGAGAAGGTGAAGCTGGAATGCTCCTTGGAGTCAAGGATTCTGAAGCTTCGTCTGACATACTTTGGGCATGTTGCAAGGAGGGACTGGTCCTTGGAGAGAGACATCATGTTTGGCAGAGTGGAGGGGAAGCGAAGGAGAGGAAGACCTTCCATGAGAGGGATCGATTCTGTGACTGGATCGATGGGAATAAGTGCGTTTGAGATGGCTAGGTTGGCACAGGGTAGAACAGCATTTAGAGCTCTTGTACATAACGTCGCTATGAGTCGCAAACGATTAGATGGCACAGAACAACAACACATAGTTCCTTTTTTAAGATGTTCATTCGCAATTAATTGAAGCAGTCTTCTACTGAAGGGTTTTACTGATTTTGTTATTGTTAAAAATGTAGAGAAGACGGTGCCTAAGTTTCCAACCACTGCACCAAAAAAAGAGAGAACCATGACCACGAAACCCTTGTATATACACAAAGGGGATCGCCTTTGGGCAGCCAGTCGAATCAAGAGCAGGCAAAGGTCATTCGAAGAAAGACAGCTGTCCCATACAGGACCTGGCCCCTCAGCTCCATGTCCTTTGTTTCCTGGCTCAGCTATGGGGAGAATTGTTCCACCCGGAAAGGCAGTACCGACACACAGCAACCGCTGGGGACACTGATTCCGCAAAGGCCTCGGCTCACCCTCGCGCCTGCGCAAAAGGTCCAGCCCGCCAGTATAGATTGCTTTTAAGGGACCACTACTCACCTCCTGAGGCTGGGCGAGGATAGTCTGCCAGTGTGCGCCGACACCCAGCCACAAGGACTCCCCAAAACTGACTCCGAGACCAGCTTAGGCTACCTTTACTCCACATCGCAACTAAAGGATCCACCCCCTTTCCGGTCCCCCAGCAGAAGAGCCTCTGCAGAAAAGTTCCGGTATTCATCCTCGCTCAACCAGCACTTAATCATTGTTACATTATTAAGGTATGCTGTGTTACTGTATGTACTCTTTACACTCAATATCTGACAAGGTGTATTTCTATTGTTTATACAAGTGCCTTTGCTATTCTTCTATGCTTATTTTTGTAAGATCATCCCAAACGTAATCACTAAGGACTCCCTATCAGTCATCTCCCTGTTATATGAAATAGTTTATAACCTGTAGAAGGTCAAGGACTTCAGTCTTCAATATGGGTTTAAGCTCAACATCAAAATAAAATTCTCGCCCCTGGCCAATTGGCAGCATCTTGATAGAGACTGAGATTGTTAACAGTTTCAGCTTACTTGATTCCACAATCAACATTCTTGGCATCATCAGTCAAGAAATAAAAAGATTAATTGTATTGGGAAAATGTCAGGACCTCTCTCCTGAGTACTGAAGAGCAACGATGTTATTCTCAAGACAAAGGTGTGCCTGATCCAGACCATGTTCTTGGCAATTACTATGCATCAGAGAGCTGAACAATGACTAAGGACGATAGAATCCATGCCCTTAAGTTGTGGTGTTGGAGACGAGTATTGAACATACCTTGGACTGACAAGAGAACTGGTCTGTAAGAAGGTGAAGCCAAGTTGCTCCTTGGAGGCAAATATTTTGAATCTCCATCTCACATACTTTGGGCATGTTGCCAGAAAGATCAGTCCCTGGAGGAGGACATCATGCGTGGAAGGATGGAAGGACAGACAAGACCCTGGATGAGACTGACTAACTGATCAGGGTTATGGGAATAGGTGTGTATAAGTCAATGAGATTCGCTCAGGATAGGGTGGGGTTCAGAGCTATTGGACATAGGGTCACTATGAGTGAGATGCAGACAACTCAACAGCACATAGCAACAACAAAACCAAAAGGCTCTGGTGGTCCAGTGGTTAAAGTCCTTGGCTGTTAGTCTGAGAATTGGTGGTTCAGCCTAACATTGATATGGCACTTGGCTTTGGTGTTTACAACCAGCTTCTCAAAAACTCATCATTTGATAGGAACCAACTCATAGGTGACCCTTCAGCAGGTTTCTGAAGCTGTAAATCTTCGGGAGAATTGTTCATTTTTCTCTAGAGGAGCAATTGCTAGATTCTAACTGTGACAGAGGCCTTTTGGGCACCAGTGCGACTTTCTAGACTACCAGAGCTCCTACAGCTTGCTGATCCTCTAGTGGGTTCTCAGAGGCATTAATTGCAAAGGAGAAGACTATCCATCTTTCTCCTGTGAGCAGTTAGTGGAGCAGAACGGCACAGCTTTGAGTTGGTAGCACAATTCCTGTACCAAATAGAGGTGGCATACAAGTACCATATGATCACCGCGGGATGATGGGCAATCTTCCCCCATTTGATTAACTGCCTCTGAAAACCCACTTGAGGGTGAGTTATGGGTCAGTTCTCACTCTACCGCACACAACAAAATCATATGATCACACACACCCATGTTTACTGTGGCTTTGTTTACAATAGCAGAGTTGGAAACAACCTAAGTACCCATCAACGAATGGATAGAGAAGCTGTGGTATATTCACACAAAGGAATACTATGCTGCATTGAAAACCAAGGAACTCACGCAATATTATTCAAAATGGGTGACCCTGGAGGACATAATGCTGAGTGAAATATGTCACAAAAGGACAAATACTGCACAGTGCCACTGTTGTAGGACGGGACTGACATCAGGATTGGGATGAGACTGAGAAAAAACTGGATAAATTATGTATACTGCTTTGAAACAAATGAGGGAGATAACCGTTTAAAAGCATGTATGATTGGGTATTATGTTTAGGACAAGACTCCAGAATGAAGGTTGCATAGTGGAGGGTGGGGATTGTATACCAATAAAAGAATTTCTCTTTTAGTTTTCAAAGAGAAGAGTGAATGGGGGGAGGGGAGCGTGGGCAGGGAGAAAAATGCAACAATGAATGAATGGAAATCCAAAATCTCTGTAAACGTTAAAATTAATAAAAAAAACACCCCAATACCAAAAAAACACATGATCAAGAGCCAATGGTAACAAAGAATTCCAAGCTGCACTAAAGGTATTGGCAAAAATAAGACCCAGGAATCGAACAGATACTAGTTGACATGTTGTTGTTTAATGTTGTCGAGTCGTAGACGACTCATAGCGACCCTATGAACGAACAGCCTGAGCACTGTTCGTACATAGAGTTTCCGGAGGCAAGCCATTTTGGAAGTGGATGCCGCTCCTGCTTCCAGGCTTGATTTAGTTGCGAATCTCCAGCCAACACTGTCCACCATGGGTACCCATTACCACGATTGGCACATCACTGTCACAGGCTTCAGCATCACAGCAACCACAAGTTACCTCTTTGGCTTGGTAGACATATTTCAGCTAAAAGATGCAGACCTGGATGTGCTCTCTATTCTAGGAAATATGCAGGACAGCTGCCTAGCTGCCTGACTGGAAGAGATCCATCATTTGCTCCCATAACTGAGAAAGGGTGATTCAACAGAATGTGGAAATTATCAAATATCATTAATATAACATGAAAACAAAATAAGGGAGATCATCTTAAAAATGGCTAGTATATAGACAGAGAGAACTTCCAGACATTCAAGATGGATCTAGAAGAGGTTGTGGCACTAATGAGATCACTGCTGATGTCAGATCGATCCTGGCTGAAAGAACGTCTAGTTGTGCTTTATTGACTATGCAAAGGCATTTCCCCCATAAATCATAGCAAGTTTTGGTGAACATTGAGAATGGGAATGAAACCTATACCAAGAGGCTATTGGGCAAACAGAGCAAGGAAATACTACATAGCCTAAAATTAGTCAAGATTGTGTGTTAGGGTTGTATCCTTCCTCCATGTCCATTTAATCTGTATGCTGAACAAATTATTTGAGAAGCGGGACTCTATTAAGAGGAATGTGGCATCAGAATCCAAGGAAGGCTCATCAACAACCTGCACAATGAAGTTTTCAACAACTTTCCTTGCTTAAAGTAAGGATTTCAAGCCCTTGCTGCAGAAGGCTAAACATGGCAACCTTCAACATGGATTGCACCTCAATGTCAAGAAAGCAAAAACCACCACCGCTGATAGGCAACATCATGACAGATGGAGGAGATTGAAGCTGCCAAGGACTTAATCTTAAATTAGACCCACAATCACCATTGATACCAGCAGTCAAATCAGGATACGTTTTGTATTGGACAAGTCCACTGTTAAGGACCTATCCAAAAATTGAGGAGTATGTAGATGACATAACCCTGCTTGCGGAAAGTGAGGAGGACCAGAAGCGCTAGCTGTAGAGGGTCAAGGACTGCAGCCTCCAATATGGATTGAGGTTCAATATCAAGACGACAAAGATTCTCTCCACTGGGCCAACTGGCAGCATCAGGATGGATGAAGAGATTGAGTTAGTTCACAGCTTTAGTTTGCTTGGCTCTACAGTCAACTCGGCACCAGTAGCCAGGAAATTAAAAGACTTATTGCGATGGCAAAGTCTGCAGTTAGAGACATCTCCAAAGTACTGAAAAGCAATGGTGTCTCTCTGGAGACTTAAGGTGTGTGTCTGATACAAGCCATGGTCTTTGCAATCACTTTTTATGCATCAGAGCTGGACAATGACTATGGAAGACAGGAGAATTGATGCCTTTGAGCTGTGGTGCTGGAGAAGAGTATTGAATATACCATGGACTGCTAAGAAAATTAACAGGTTTGTCCTGGAGAGGGTGAAGCCAGTCTGCTCCTTAGAGGCAAGGATTCTGAAGCTTCGTCTGACGTATTTTGGGCATGTTGCAAGGAGGGACCAGTCCTTGAAGAGGGGCATCATGCTTGGTAGGGTGGAGGGACAGCGCAGGAGGGGAAGGCCCTCTATGAGGTGGATTGATTCAGTGACTGGGGTAATCAGATGGGTGTATTGGAGACGGTGCAATTGGCACAGGACAGAGCAGAGTTTAGGGCTGTTGTACATAGGATCGCTATGAGTCACAAGCAACTCGACAACACATAACAACAACATCAGTTTAAGGACTAAGACAACACTCTTACAACAATGGAGAGTCAGCTAATGAGAGAAGACCTTTAAGATGGACTGACCCAGTGATTTTAACAGTGTTCTCAAGTATATCAGAGATGATGATGAGGGTAAAGGAGAGGGCAAGGTTCATAGGACTGCTATAAATCCAAGTGGACTCAAGGACACCTACCTCCCTCTTTCTCAACATGTATCCAAGAATTGGTTCCTCCTGAAAATATGGCCAATGAGACAAAGCTTCCTCTTCTTTGCTTGTTGGACTTCAAGATGTTTGTTCTTTTGGCAGCTCATGGTATAGTCTATATTCTTCACAAACATCACAATTCAAAAGCTTTCTTCAGTCGTATCTTGCCCAACCTAAAGGTACTTAGTTATAATCTACCAACTACTAACACGAATGGGCAGTTTCTGTCTGTAAAGTTTGGAATCCATTTGGACTGCTTTGAGTAGACCTAACCCGACAGAAGTGGGAAAGCCTCAAATTCACTCCTGCAGGGTCACTATGAAACTACGTGCCAGCAGTGGGGTCTGCTTTTTGGAAGACATGGATCTTTACTCTTGGAATCACAAAGTATATGGTGGGTGAAATAATTCTTCTCCAAGGATTCCATTTCTTCTTTCAATGTACTTATTCTATATTCTCAATCAAAACTCAAGTAATTGCTGGCAAGTTAGAATGAACTCGAGTGGGCTCTTCACTAGTTTTTCAGAGGCTGTAAATTACATGGAAAGGAACTCCCATTCTCCTCTTGCAGTACAACTCCATAGATTATGTCATTGGCTAAAGATTCGTGGAATAGGCCTGATTTACTGATTAACAATGGTGGTACAGTAATTGTGCTAACTGCAAAGTCTACAATTCTACCGCACAAGCTGCTGCAATGGAAACCTGATGGGGAGAGCTGCTTTGTGTCTAACTCAGGATAGAGTGTGCAATAGTAGCTCATGGAGCCCGTCACAATGG